TCCGAAAATATGAGGAAGAAGGAATATATTTCTGTTATATTCAAAACTTCTTATTTTACAAGACCAAATGACACTCCTTTTTATTAAAAGACGGGAAAAATATACATAAATATTGAAAATTTGCATGTCCCAAACGAGCATGCCATTTGTTCAAAAAAAGAAAAAAGAAAAAAGAAAAAGGAGCATGCCACAAAGCTAAAGTCTTAAACAAAAAAACATAGGAGGAAGAATCCTCAGGTAACACCGAAGCAAAAAAACTAGAAAGAGACCACGAATCTGGGGGATCTCCAAAAGTAATATAGACCATCTCACTTATATTCCCTGCCAAAAATCCTCTTCGAACTTAGGTCCTATAACAAGCAAGAATTGGGTTAGAAAATGATAGCACAATGAAAGGCCTTAGCAAGTTGACTCAGAGATAAGAAATTATATGCAAAGTTAAGATCATGTAGTATAGAGGAAAGAGTAATAGTAGGAGCTAAAGTAACACTACCTTGATGACGAACAAATGTAATAGAACCATCAACTAGACACACAGTTTGGGTTGTAGCAAGGATGGGAGAAGTAAGATAGGAAAGCTCACCCGTCATGTGATTATTAGTCGCAGAATCCAAAAATCAAGTAAGACGTGCACAGTGAGCATGGAAAATAATAGAAGTACATGTAGCCAATGTGGCAGTAGAGAATGATGGCCTCGGCGAAATCATAGAACCAAACTGTGCCTAAAGCTAAACCAATCTGTGTCTGAAAGAGATGTAAATCTGGAGTACTACAACTTGGGACAATCTCTACAACAATAGCGGTGCGAGATGAGCTAGATAGATTAGCATGGGAGAAACGGTGTTTCAACTTAGGATTAAGTTTGAAAAAGTGAGCCTTGACGTGTCCTGATTCTCTACAATAATGATAAATGACCTTCCTAGCAAAAGGACGAGACCTAGGATTTGCAACAAAAGCCATCTGATCAAAGGAAGCGGGAGGCTCAGGAACCGAAGAGGAGACAGGCTGAACCAATCGGCGGCGGCACTCATCACTATCAATAATAGTAAAAGCCTCATAGAGAGAAGGCATAGATGTGTTTAAAATCTAAATGTGAAGGGACTCGAACTCAATAGTTAAACTCATCAAGAATTGGTAGGTGTGCTAACAGGCAAGTCGCTTGGTCACAAGAGAAGCAACCTCGGTTGGAAGATCAATCAAAGGATTATACTGAGCCAATTGTTCCCAATGGGCCTAGTAAAAAATAAGCCATAGAAAGACCCAAAGCAGACTGAGAAGCACGAGAAATATCCTGGTAGAGCTCAGAGATGTGAACGTCATTATGAGCATGAGCATGCATCTAGGACAAGACTCGCAATAATCTAGGAATGGTATCACAATATAGAAACATGTGATAAAGCCAGTCCTCCATGGAATTGAACATCCATCCAAAGATAGTGTAGTTGTCAATATCCCATTGACTATACATAGAATCTGTATCGTCGTCTGAGTAGTGGTAGATGTAAGTGGGTGAAGTAGGTGGAGAGTAGGTGGATTTTAACATAGGGAATGGCTCCATGCAGCAAAATTTTTCCCATTCAACACCACGCTCGTGATACGATGAACAGGAGTTTGGTGAGAGAAAAATCTAGACTAACCGGAACATGTTTAGCTGGTACCACAATAGGGACAACAAAAGGAGACTCAGTCATGGTGTCTAGAGAGAGAGGTGATGTTTATAGTTAACAACCCAGAACAATACAGAAATCACAGTCTTTCAAACAAGGTAGCTGGAATCACAAAGCAAACACATCGAACAAACGGTGTAACCAGCAAGTGCTACCGAACAAACCGATAATCCAAAACACACGGAGAAACAAGATTGATGCTTACCACATCAGCATCGGTACACAACTTGCCAAATTGCCCTGGAGGGGTGTCGGCCTCAACCCAGGCTTGGAATAGCTTGGTCGGAAGGTGAGAAGACTCTCTGGGGAAGGGTTGGGCTTGCGTCGAGGTGTAAGAGGGTTGGGCTTAGGCCGAGAGAGAGAGAGAGAGAGAGAGAGAGAGGCCGTTGAAGGTCAATGATGGCCCGACAGAGGTGAAGAAGAGAGAAGGAGGGGTCGTTGAGTGGTGAAGGATTAGGGTTTAGGCTCTAATACCAAGAAGAAGAGAATGATACATGATAATTGCCTAATATCCCGTGATTGCACAATCGCGGGATTCTAATTCTAATTCTTAATTCCAACGACCAAGGCTGGCATGGCAGTATCAAGGTGGCCATCTAATCATAGTTTGCAATGAGCGAAGTGAGTTGTGGAGCAAAGCAAAGCCAATATTGGTAGGCATGAAGTTAAGATTCAAATGAAGCATGTGTGCTTTGACAAATAGGCCGTACTCGCACTAGGTACTTGGTACTGGTACTTTGTATGGTTAATTTTGCATATGTACTGGGTATACGAAACATGTATCCGACTTTTTTCTTCTTAATTTTTGGCATACTTAGACGTACCTAATATATGCCCAAGTCGTATCATACATCAATTGAAACAATATTTTCTTTTAACACAAAGGTAAAATTAATTTTATTGGACTTATTTTTTATTTTTTATTTGTATGCTTAGCATGATTTTAAAATTAAGTTATAGTTTGTAATTTATTTAATATAATGACATTTAATTTTGATTTATATCTTTACTTTTGGCATTAAATGTGAATTGTAGGTTAGATCTTAGCAAACTAAACCATTTAAACTAATTTTTGCCTTACTCAAAATTAAAAATAAATATTTTTACAAATGAACCAAGCTGTACCCGTACCCGTACCCTACTTTTTATAGATTTTATAATATCACCCGTATGTACCAGTACCTGTACCCTTAACCGTACACATGCTTCATAGGGTTCAAGTCATACCTTATGATCTAAATAGGTGACTTGAACCAAACCCAAGCGATTACGTGGCTCACCACAAAGGAAATCCAAATTCATATACATACAGAATCTATCGACAAAATTGTGGGGATAAAGTTGCCTTCCTATATTTCTTCTTCTACACCCTGCTTTAAGCAAGAGCCTTGCGTACCTTTTTATTTTTATTTTTTTTAATCCTAAAACTGTGAAGCATGGGTACTCTAAAAATGTTGTCGTACTCGTACCGGATACTTACCGGGTATTGGTACTCATACTGATAAGGCTGCATGCGTACTGGGTACTCGAAATACATATCGGGTACTTCTTATACATTATTTGACTATTGGGTACTCTGTGAGTACTTCATGGGTACAGGATGGGTACATTGAGGGTACACCAAGCTATGAGACATTGGTGGAGATACATTTAATTTATTAGAGAGTTCTAATTTACTTGAAATTGCAAATCCTTTACTTAATGTGTTAGAGATGAAAGATGTATTATTCAATGATGAAATTGATGGAAGTGAAAATTGAAGTTTTAAGTTTTCAAATTTTGCTTAGCTCACTTTTGGAGTGAAACTTTGTTTTGTAATTTCTCCTATTTAATGGCATTGAAACAGCTTATAGACTTTGCTTTGGTATTGGTATTGTTGAATTATGATTTCTCCTTCGGTTTTGTAATTTTTTCTTTTAGTTTTGGTATTGAACTTTGATTTGTAGATTGAATCTTAAACTAGAAATTAAAAAAAAATTAAAAAATTTGTTGACGTACCCAGCCGTACCCGTATTTTATTGTTTTTAGGTCTTGCTGTATCGGCGTACCTGTAACGTACCTGTACTAGCATCCATACCCGCACCCGCACCCATGCTTCATAGCCTAAAACTAAAGAATCAATACTTAACAATAAAATTGTTGTTTAATGCTGCGAAATAAAGCATTAACCAAATTGTCCGACACTTCGACGACTCAATATTTTCGCCATTTTGCTACTTTATAGGAATATATCTTTTGTTAATTATTATGTCTTACATTTTAAACTTATGGTCTTTATAGTCTTCCTGACATCCTTGGGGTATCTCTAATGTGAAAATAAAAAAGAAAAAACATACCTGTTAGAGAAATCATTTTGTTTTCTCTACATCTCACCAGAACATTTTAAACAACTACATCATCTACCTGTAGCTTCTGTTTAATAAAATTTAGCCTCTAGTCAACCACTTTATGATCCTCTACTTTGTCTCTTCTGCTCCAGTTCTATAGGTAATGCTATCCTGTATCTTATCATGACAGCTGGTTCAGAATAACAAAATACACACTTAAGTATCTTCAAGCTATCAATTTTCACTATTTGCTCGGTTCTATAGGTAATGCTATGATAATGACCACATTAATGTACCAAAAGTTGTTTTGCCATCTCGTGTGTGTATTGGTTCAAGTGGTAACACATCATGTGGGAATGCAAAATATGGTAAGAAAATGTGGCCATCATAGCATTATTATTTTTCTAAACATTTAAATTCTAAAGCATATATTTGAATTTGTAACTCAGAATTTATCCTTACTAGAGTTGACGTCATAAGAAGACAACACACACGATGCTCTAAATCTAATATTTCTGAAAACATAACTAGATATCGCAGGCTAGACTATTGTATATTCTACTTCACACGATGAAGCAGGAGAAAGCCCAGAAACATAGGAACAATTAACCCTTTGTTTGGGTTAATTAGAACAATGGATTGTCACTGCAGTGTCACCTTGAACAATGCACATAATACTGATGCCAAACAACTGCAAACCAACCATTTTGCATATCTTCCTTAAAAGTTGATCAATTTTAAACTATGTGACATCTCTAAGACATTGAACTTTCCAATCTTTCAAACATAACACACATAATTACCATACTGTCCTATTAAGTTGCTTACCGTCTTTGCGGCTATCTAATTTGGCCTGGCACTTAAGAACTTACGCTGCACGTTCTTTTTTTAATTCCGATTTATGTGCTTTAAAAAATGAAACCAATCGTTTTGTACTGTCGCTCTTTTTGTTTTTCCCCTCATTCCCCAGAGAAAAGGATAACATTTCACTTTGTTTCCAATGCAGACCGCTTTCAGAGCAAAGGCAAAGGAGTTCCACCCAGATCAGAATCAGGGTAACAAAGGTGGCCAGCTGTTACATTTTGTTAATTTGGATCCTACAGATTGCATTTCTGAATGTTGTGATCTCATTCCTGGTGTTATTATTGCATTGGGTTTGGAACATTTGATGGTTGTGTTTGGCTGCAGAGTTAGCTGAGGCCAAGTTCAAAGAGGTCATGACATCTTATGAGGCTATTAAGATGGAAAGGAAAGACAATAAGTCGTGAAATTTGTAAAAATTGCAGCATTGAGGAATGTAGTGTTCCGTGTTATCTCACCCTTCACCGGTGCTGTTATTAGTTTTCAGCAATTCAACGAGACCACTGTAAAACATTTTCGTGCCATTTGGCCATTTTGATTTTAATGTTACATGTAGGTTTTTTTCTTCAAAAATGCTAGAGGCTCCAAAAATTCTACCAAAAATTTTACCAAATGTCTCACATGGGTGTGGGACCCACATGGGACCCACATTGTGTGGGTCCCACACCCATGTGAGACATTTGGTAAAACTTTTGGTAGAATATTTGGGGTCTCTAGCATTACTCTTTTTTCTTATCTTTTTTTTTTTGTCAAAATTTGACCATTGAAATTTTAATGTTGTGCTTGCAGGCTTACACCAACTGAATCTGGCGTTTTTTTTGAGTCTGAAAGAAATCAGAGCATGTGTATTTATGTATAGAAGAAGAATAAATCATCTTTTATTGGGTGTGCACTCATGCTTGATGCTAGTTAATAGTAACATTTCACAATCAGGTCGAAAGCTTTTTAACTCTTGACCATTGATCTACGAAATCATGTACGTATTATGATTGAGTGGATTGTTCAATATCATGATATGTTTACAGGGTTCTCATAGAGATGGAGTCATGGTGATTGGATCAACTTGTTTTTTTTTTTTTTTTTTTTTTTTGAGAATCAGACTTAGTTTTGTTGTTACTATTTGAATTGATGGAGTCTTGAAAATCACAAAATCAATGATAACAGAGCTACTTTTAAGATTTGTTGTTTTTGTTGATGGGTCAATTTTATGAGAAAAGAAAAAGCCCAGCAGGAGAGGCAAATTTGTTATCGTACATTGTGAAGATTGCTAGTTAACGTGTTTTTAATGTACACGTAGATTACTATTTTAGCAATGACATTGGTCAAATGCCAAATAGAGCATCGGGCCCCAATCAATGGCATCCAACGGGTGCCAACTCAGACTAACTAGGTCACATGGCATGTCTTAATCCCCTGGGACAACCAACTGCTTGTTTCTAGTCCATTTTGAGGCATTCCTTTCAAATAATTTTCAATGCTGAAAGATATTCATCATGTGGTAGGAAAGAATTTGGAAGAGAGGAGAGAGCCTGAGAGATTGGGGATAAGGGATCTATTCTTTTTTCTTGTGCACCAAGGATTGGATAATTTCTAAGTTTAAAAGAATCTTTCTCAATCCACCACCACATGATCAACACTCAAAGAGATTAAACATTTGATACAAAGAAATTTGAAACATAAAAACATGAGAAGAATAGGGGACAACTAGGATCTAGATAATTACAAAGTTCATAAGAATCTTGCGGAATTCCAGTGTCACAATTGTGCAAGGCAACATCACTAGAAAAGGCCAAAATTAAGTCTTTGTGTGGGCCTGAATATTTTATCACTAGTAAAGCTTCATTGTGAATTTGTAATTATCATTATCATTGACACAAACAAACCAATCTATTAAAAAGAAAATTGTTGCATGTTAGGGTGCGAGTACAATTTTCTATTACAAGATTTTAATGCTTTCATTTCAGACCTGAAAATTGCAAAAACATTCACTTTCCCTGTGTAAATAAATTGTCCCTAATTTAGAAATGAACTAACCACTAACATCCAGTGAAATGCTGTATGTATGCAATTTGATTTCCTGAAAAAAAATGTAATCGAACACACTAAAAATGAATGCCTAATGACAGAAGAACATGAGACAAGTCACAACTCTAACAAAGCGATCAATTGTTCCCCTACTTCTGAACAAGGAAAGCTGTTGCCTTTAAGAACTAGCCAGTCTTGACAATATCACAGGTGTTCAACATGTTATTCAATCCAGAAGTGTTTTTCGTCCACAATTCAGGTTTCACAACCTTACTTAACTGGAGGAGCTCTGTAATATGCAGGAACGGTAGCAGGGAAAAACATCTGTCTCACTCCTTCGGCCTTGATGATAGGTAAGATGATTCCAGAAGCATCCTGTAAAAAACAAAATTTAGAATTAAGAATAAAACTATGATTAATAGAAATTCAACAAACTAGCTTTTGGTAGCAAAAAAAAAAAATAAGGGAAGAATGAACACTCACCGAAATCAATTTGGCTCCGATCCACATACGTTTGGGAGAGGGAAATGGCAGTAACAAGCGTCCAACACCATATATAGCTACCGCAAAGAAATGGAGAACCAAGCTCAATGGACGAGGGTTTAAGCCCGACAGTAAAGACACTGGTCCTGTTGAAAAAACACCTCCAAGGCTTAAATAATCGAAGCATGCCTGGCGCATTTCCTTCCGTGCTTGATCATGTGAAGCACAAAACACCTTATACAGGGCACCTGCCAATGTATTTATTGTGGATGCCACAGGCTACAAATAACAACATTAAGAACGATTAGTTACAGAACCAGAATGAAAAAATCACATCTGCAGAGGAATTCTCAGTTGTCTCAAATTTAAGGTTGACAAGGGTCTAGTGGCATCATGAACTTCGAGGACATTTCTTATTTGTTAAAGATCTAGGTGCAAGTGAAAGTTATGGCATGGGACACAACTCTTAGTTGCCCCGACTTGCACCTCCATGAAAATGCAATTATTTTGAGTTGTTCACATTTAAATGAAATTTTACCTTTTGTTTTCCTAGAAACACAGATAGAAAACGATGCTACATCTAATTTTGTTTGGACATCTACTTATGTATACGAACTTACCTTACGCAAGGTGTAAAAGGATTCGAGATATCTACAAAGAGTACGCGCATCATTTAGGTCGAGCAGAGGCCTAAGAAGATCACGTAGCACAACAATATCAGATAGTGCAACAGTCATTCCTCCACCAGTTAAAGGGTGGCGCATGTTAAATGCATCCCCCATCAGTAAGGCCCCTGGAGTAGGATGCGGAGCAGCTGGCATGCTTCTATTAGGCATAGTCCTTATGTTTCCTTGATCAATAGCAGCGATAAAAGCATCATGCAACTGGGAAGGAATCTGAAACAGAGAAGTGTGTCAGATGAGTCCAATGTGCCGGGGACATAAAGAACAAAATTGCAGACAATCTTTTATATAATTCTGCAGAAATTAGTATACAAAACAATAAAGAAATATACAAAAATCAAAGACACATGATGTACATACCTGGGGAGCAATTACAGTCTTCAAATACTTGGTCATTTCTCCATTTGAAATAGAAGGAACCTTTTGACCAGGTACATCAACAAGACAGCGAATTTCAGTGCTACTAATAGGATAAAACAAGATAGGAGACGGGTCTGCTAAAACAACATGCCCATGGTTTGCATATGGCAATTCGCAGTTCTCCAGAACCAAACCAACAAAACAAGAGGGCACTTCTACCTGCAGATGATAATATGACATCAGTGATTAGACCCAAGCAAGAAGGATAGAACACACACAAGCCTTATCCCAACTTTTGAAAATGATTATTAAAAAAAAAAAAAACTAGGGGTGCAAAAATAGTTTGGCCATTTTTACTAACAATAAAAAAATATATAGATAATTTAGTAAGAAACCCCCACCTTAGGTTTGCAAAGAGATCTGCGCAAGTTTGAAAAACAGCCATCACATACAATGGTCAAAGGTGCATATGCTGCCAGTTCTTCACCATTTTTGTTCTTGTATTGCACCCCTCTAATAGTTCCTCTTTCTTCAAGCAGAGATGTGACTGTTCCTTGCTCCAATCGAACACTACAGAAAATTGAGAAACAAGGTTAATTGACCATTAAGCAGAGAGAAAAGAAAATACTCAAAATGAATAGTTGTTGATGCCATGAAATATATTCTGGTGTGGTCAAGATGTTGTTAAATTGTGAATTAAAGGAAGAAAACCAAAATCTACAATTGCAGAAAAGACGTACTTGGGAAGGGTTGCAGCCTTTTCCCGCATTCTCTGAATGAAGCGCCCATTGTGAAAGCTCCTTCCCGACACATCGGAGTGAAACTTTTCTAAAGGATAAGAGAGTCGAGTATTCCTTCCGTCCTTGAAAAGAGCATACCCAAACACCCGTTGAGCATCTATTTGCTCCACGCAATCTGTTTAAAAAAAAACCCACATGGTTCATCCAACAGCGCACCACAAAAAAAAATTATAACTAGCCGCAAAACTAATATACAAAAGTATATGAAATCATATTGTTCGACTAAACCCTACCTTCTAGACCCAACTCGATTAATTTAAGGTAGCCACCTGGTTGTAGCAACTCTCCAACAATCCGGTCAGGCTGACTCAAATCTCTTTCAATCACATGAACACGACGCCCATCCTGCAACTCATCAGTTTGCAATTAAATTGATTTGCAGTTTCAATTACTAAGCAAAATCATCAACAACTAAAATCAGAAAACAGATTCAAGAAATCCCTCTTGTTGATAGTCTAATCAAAATTACTTAGATATATTCTTGTTGAGTACTAGTGACTAGATTGAACTTTTATAAAATCAGCAAGCTAAAAAAATGACTTCACAATCAGCATATCATCTTGGCTTCCACTGTCATGTCATATTCATTTTTGTCCACAAATATGAGATTATCGAAATCCAAATTACTCCATTTTTTTGGATTATTATTTGGGGAGGTCTCGATCTCATCAACTAGATTCGATAATCAGACGACAATTACAATTACAAATCCAAAGCATAAATAGTAGGTATGCAATATATAGAGGAATGTACATATGCAGATTGAAGCTCATACCTTGCCGAGGGTGTGAGCGAGAGCAGCACCAGCAACGCCAGCGCCGACGATGATGACGTCGACATCTTCGTCTCCTCCGCCGTTCTTCGATCTGCATTCTGAGTTAATTGCGGCGGTGGTGCTGGTGGTGGTGACGGCGGTGGTGCTCTCTGCTGTTCCATTTCGCTTCGCGTAGAGATTGTACGACACCACAATCACCAATATCGAGGCCAATAGCGAGCCTAGCAAATACTGATCCACCATTTTCGCAGAATGCAAATCCAACAATGAGACCGAGACGACGACGACGACGACGATGGACAGGCCGACGAAGAGGACTCTTTCTCTCTCTCACTGGAAGCTCTCTGTTTCTCTCTCTCTCTCTCACTATATAGTGTGAGTTTTGCTTTTTCTCTGTCCTTGCTGGGTTGGCCTCTGCGTGTGTTTTTTGAAACTTATTTTAGTAGTTGAGACCGACGAGTGAGCACGGGAATTTTTAAGGCAGATGGCGGGACCTTTTATAGGTGGGCTTTGAAACAGCTCACACCTTTCTGTTTCAAAAACGGCAATTTGCGAGAAATTTTTGAATGTGAATAGGGTACTACCTGCCATTACTTTTTTATTAATTAAAAATGTATATGTCTATTATGATTATCTAAGTCTCTGTTTGGTAAGAGTTAACCGGAGTTTTTTTTTTTGTTATTTTAGCCACAAAAGATAAAATAGGCTATTTTAGCCACAAAAAACAAAATATCTCATTCAACCCATAATCATTACATTCTTCTCTCACAAAAAAAATCAAAAAAACCAAAAAACCCTTCCAAAACCAAACTTTTTAGCCCAGGCTAAAATAGTCAAAAAAACTAAAAAGCTAAAAAGCCAACCCACTTCCCAAACGGAGGCTAAATGTAGTGGATTTTATTAATAAAATCAATCGTAATAGTAGAAGGTATCATATGACACATACTTATCTGTATGCAAAAAATTTTTCCAATTTGCACTTGGTCCGTGCAGTGGCAACTCTAGAAACTTTTGTCAGTGGTGTCAATCAAAAACTTAAATACCATATATCTTACAGAAAATTCACATTAATCATTATATCACCTATGGAGAAAAAAATCAACAAATTAATTTAAATTCTAAAATTATAAACAAAAATATTTCAATATATTGATACTATTGTTTAAGCAAAAAGACATGCTAATATCTAATATGGGTTCAAAATTGGTGGGTTCAAAAGAGTAGAACTTAAAACTATGGGTTCAAAATTGTATTTTAGTGGGCTCAATTACTAATTTTTTTTCCTAAAATCTAATATTTATATAATAAATAAATAAATAAATTCAGCTAGGGGGTTCGGGTGACACCCCTGACCAAGCTTTGGAGCCGCCCCTGTTTGTAAAACATAACAATTGTTTGGTTAATAGGTCATCAATTTAATTATAAAAAAAAAAAGAATAACAAATATTTTAATAGGATTGAGTTAAAATAAAGAGTTTGATGCAATGAGTGACTAGTTAAAATAACAAAATAAAATTTTCAACTTTAATTTGATTAAAAATGTAAAGAGTTTGATGAGGATGCTCTTCCACTCGTAAATTATTCATTCTGGATCTTTGTGTGGCTGATAGATAATCCTCTCCTCTGAGCCGAAACACACAAGGCAACAAAAAGCGTGGTTGGTAGCTTTTGTGTTAAGGCGTAGTGATGATAGAGAGAGGATTACAAATTCAAAAATTTTTACTCACAATTTATTTAGAAATAATAATTAATGTTTGTAATTCATTTTATTTATGGACTTTACATTTTAACAAATTAATTTTTACCACACAAATTAATTCTGGGCAAATTCTGACAATAAAATTAAATAAATTATTAATTGAAATGTATTTTTAATATCATTAAAAATTATTAATTAACTTGATAATTTTTTATAAAATGAGTTATTTGTTATGCAATTAAAAACTTAAAAGGACATGATACAATTTCTAAAATCATAGGAGGTAATTTGTATTTTAAGTAAATCTCAAGATGTGTATTTTTAATTTATCTAAATATTTAAAAAGAAAATATGCAATTTAAATTTATTTTTTGTATTATAAATTTTACTTAAAAATGAATTTTGACTATAAATTTGTTGAATTTGTAGTACACCCTTGGATTAAAACTATATACTTACGCAAGAATTAATATATTTATAAAACACAATTTCAATTTGAATCTTACATGATCAGAAAATTTAAAAATAATAATAATAAATCAACGATAAATTAGTGCAATAAATATATTTTGAATATTATAAAAGAACAAAGAAAAATTATGGTAGCGTTTAGTAGAGTTTTAGAATTATGATTTGAGAATAGAGTTATATTTTGAGTTTGTGAGTTTTGAAATTATGATTTGAGTGTAGAAAATTTATTTGGTTATGAATTTTGAAAAGAGTTTTGAATTAAATTTGAAATGAATGATATGACATATGATATTTGATTCAAAAACTTATAACTCATAACCAAACACATAATCTAAAATTTTATTCAAAGTTCATAAAAACTTTTAACAAAAATTTTGAAAATAATTTAGGAAAAAAATAATAAAATTTTCAAAACTTTTAATGCATGATGAATGATAAAATGATTTTTAGCTTATTTCTTGGTCTAAAAAAAACTAAGCCGACTAAGCCGACTTTTTACCTTGTACGCTATATAGTAAGACAATAGAAGGGTTAAGAGTAGATGCTGGTGTTTAGCGGTGCTGATTTCTTTATTAAAAACAATAATTACAATGAAAATAAATACTTAATGTTGTTTCGAGTTGGTTGTTGAAAACAAAGCTTGGCCGATTTACAAGTCAAAGGATATTATTATATATTTTTTATGGAAATATGTATTAGTTATGGCATTTATGAGTTTAATTATCACAAATAATTCAATTTTATGATATTCATAATTAAGTGTCATTTTGGAAACATGGTAAAAAGTCACGTTTTTTGGTGGCTGTCAAAAACGCCAGAAAAGTTATTTGGCAAGTGCCAAAAACGCAGCTGTAAAATTACAGATTAGGGCCTATAAAAAAAAATAAAAAAATAAATCTCTTATGTTGGGTAAAGGTATTTTGGTCATTTTAATTTGATTTGAAACCATAAATAAATATTAAACTAAAAAGTAAAAAGTCAGCTTTTTACTAACTTCTCAAATCACTTCCAAAAAAGTCGAAAAACTTGATAAAAAGTCAAAAGTCAGCTTTTTACCAACTTCCCAAAACAACTCTAAAAAAATAAACGAGTTATGGCCAAAGATTTTTGAATTAAAATAATATCATAGTTAATATCACAATGAATTATAATTAATTATACAATGCGTCATAACTAAATATCACCAAAATTGTAACAAGTGTATATATATATATGTTACATAGAATTTCCCATAATACATACTAGCCTATCACCCGTGCTATGCACGGAATAATTATAGATATTTATATTTGCTTTAGATTTTTTTTAATATATAAATTATGTTTTTAAGATTTTTTATAAAAATAATTTAACAATTTTATCACTAACCATAGTGTATGGAAAAAGTTGAAAAGGATACTGCAATAACTATATACGGATTGTATCTACAATTATTTATATGAGGGGATTTTAAATGCTGATCAGGGAATTGTATCAATAAATGCAGGCATGTGAAAAGACACGTGGATTGAGAAAAGTTAATAAATGCTAATTAAGGGATTTTGACCAAATCAATAAATGCTGAGTTTTTTTTTTAATAAAAAATTTAGAAAATTCAGATTGGGATATTGAAGCTCCCACAGGCTTTGGGGGTTAAAATTTTTGTAATATATAAATTATGTTTTTTAAGATTTTTTATAAAAATAATTTAATAATCTTATCACTAACCATAGTGTATGAGAGAGAGTTGAAAAGGGTACTGCAGTAACTATACACGGGTTGTATCTATAATTATCTGTATGAGGAGATTTTAAATGTTGATTAGAGAATTTTGACCAAATCAATAAATGCAAGCATGTGGAAAGACACGTAGATTAAAAAAAAGTAATAAATGTTGTTCAGGGGATATATATGTGAATTGTAATTTTTAAATGTCTTCTTTTTTTTATATTATATTAAAGTTTAATATTTTGATAATAATCATGTGTTGGACTTTTCAATGAATTAAATGTCTTGTTTTTTTATATTATATACAAGGTTAATATTTTGATAATAATCATATGTATTGTACTTTTAAAGGAATTTTTTTTATACTTGTTCTTAATGCATTAAAGTGTTATTATGAGGGATAATAATCATATGTGTTGGGACTTTTCAAGGAATTCATATATGTTGGACTTTTCAATGAATTGTTTTATATGCATTAAAGTGTTATTATAAGGGTAAGGCTTGGGGGTTGTGAGAAATTAATAAATGCTAAGATTTTTTTTTTTAAAATCAAGAAATTTAGATTGGGATATTGGAACCCCGAATTGTGATTTTTAATTTTTTTTTTAATGTCTTCTTTTTTTCATTTTTTATATTATATTAAAGTTTAATATTTTGATAATAATCATATGTGTTAAAAACCACAGGTAATTAAATCAAGGGGCGTTGATAAACTGGTTTACTGGTCAAAATCACTGCAATCTTACCTGGTCCTTGACATACATGACACATATGTTAAACGTTTTTTTTTTAAAAAAGTAAATTATATTGACGTTTTTATAATAACGAAAATTTTAACGGTATTAATAAAATAAAAATATAAACTACCAATAAATCTTAATAGTTATATTTAATTCCTATCAAGTCAAATAAATTTTAATAAAATTATTGTTAAAAATATACATACATTTTTTTTTTTACGATTTTTTTGCATTTCTCGTTAAAAATTAATAATTAGTGACTTTTTTGTCACGATTTTTTAAAATTGTCTTTAAAACTTACAATTAGTAACTTTTTTTATGATGAATTTTTCAAACTATCGTTGGAAATCAACAATTAGTGACCTTTTTTAATAGTGTTTCATAAAAATATCATTAATTATCATAAGATCTATTGAATAATAAGTCTACCTATTAGGACCTACACGTAAGTCCCCCTTAATAAAAATGATAAATTACACTAACCTCATTTGAGATTTGGGAAGAAAAAAAATATATATAAGTGGTCCTATAATATTATCATAAGTATACTAATATCTCTTTTAATAAGGTCAAAGAAGCTGTAACTAAGATCAAGTTTGGCATATTGTAAAAAAGTCAAAAAGTTAAAAAGTTACTCAAAAAGTTAAAAAGTTAACACTATTTACCAAAAGTCAACAATTACGGCTGCACAATTCCCAATCCTCATTTTTCACTACAAATTAATTTTTACAATTTTTTATTACACATTTTTCTATAAAAAGTCAAAAAGTTAATTCAAACATCTATATTTTCTTCCTCAATTTTTTAGTCCAAAAAGACAAAAAGGGTACTTATTTAGGACACCCCAAACAACCCCTAATACAAATAAAGTAAAGACATAAAAACAAATAATAATAATAATAATAATAATAATAATAATGGTAAACTATCAATAGGTCCTAATAATTGGACTTAATTCCCATCAAGCCCTATTGAAAATAAGTCTTGAGAAAATTATTTTTAAAAATAATTTTTTTGTGACAATTTTTTATATATGTCGCTAAAAATTGATAATTAGTGAATTTTTTTTATCATGATTTTTATAAATTATCATTAAAACTTATAATTAGTGACGTTTTTTATAATAAATTTTTTCCATGAATCCTATTAGATAATAAATCTACTTATTAAGACTTATACGTAAATATCCTAATAATAATATGGCTGCTTATGCGTAGGTATTTTTTTATAAACTTCTGAGGTTATGAATCCACGCATTTTTTGTTTAGGTTCATAATGACACTAGTTATAAGGACAGTCCTATAATTCATGTGTTTTTAAATTTGTTTGAATCCACACGCGTGTTTTCTGTTGAAATCTCTTTCCTCCATGTTTCTCTTTTTACCCATTCACTACCACCTAGATCACAATGGCCACCAACACCTCTCTCTCTCTCTCTCTCAACATTACCAAGTTGTACACAAAGATGAATTATGTAGCGAGCATTGTTGTCCACAAAGTGTTAGGTCATAAAGCTCAAGACATAGATCAGTAAGGAAAATGTCTCATAGCTCAAATTTTGTGGCTCAAAAGTGGCTCAAATGGTCAAAACGACGTCGTTTTGGCCATTTTTATGTTGTTCTATACTCAAAACGACGTCGTTTTGGCCATTTGAGCCACTTTTGAGCCACAAATTTGAGCTACGTAGCATTGTCGGATCAGCAAATCATACACAATGCTTCTCATAAGTTTAGGAAGTTGGGCCCTAGATGAAAGAAGTCTACCTTCATTCGCTATAATGAGCATTCTAAGGGCTATGTGTTTAGTGGGGAGTATCTAAATGGAAGCGTGACTGAAATTGAGTCACGAGACATGAATTTCCTAGAGGAGAATTTCCCTAGCAGAGGTAAGGTAACAAGAAATGTAGAGCTCTATGAGGTGGAGAATCTACATGAAGGCGCACCTAGTAGCCTAGTAGAGTATGAGGAAATAATCCCTCAAGCTCCTAGGGATAGTGGGAGCGATTTACCTGCCCGTGGATTAGATCCAATAGATGAGGATTCTCAACACTCTTAACTATGTAGAAGCAAACGTAGAGCTATATCCCGTTGTCGTTTTGAGATTGAGGGAGAAGCATTCATGATTCCTCCGAGTGATGAGATGGAGCCTAAGAATCTCAAAGATGCTCTCTCATCCTCTGCTAGTAAAGAATGAAGCGCTGCAATGGATAAAGAAATAGAGTCTATGAAGAAAATCATGTCTGGGACTTGGTTGATTTGCCAGCAAGGCATAAGACTATTCGGAACAAATGGGTTTTCAAAATCAAGCGCAAGGTGGATGGTTCCATAAAAAGGTATAAGGCTTGCCTAGTGGCGAAAGGCTACACCCAATTAGAGGGTGTGGACTTTGAGGAAACCTTTTCACCAGTTGTGAGGTTTGCCTCTATTCGCCTAATTCTGGCCATAGTAGCTCAGTTGGACTTAGAGCTATATCAGATGGACGTTAGAGACTGCATTTCTCAATGGATAATTGGATGAAGAGATCTATATGGATCAACTAGAAGGCTTTGTGGCAGTAGGTCAAGAGAGCAAAGTTTGCAAGCTTCAATGATCCATTTATGGCTTCAAGCAATTATCTAGATAGTGGAATTTGAGATTTCATCGAGCCATTGTTTCTAATGGGTTTATGATGATCGATGAAGATCACTGTGTGTATGTTAAGCGATCCAAGGACATTTTTCTGATATTGTCATTATATGTAGATGACATATTATTGGCTGGAAATGACAAGGAGATGATTATTGCCACTAAAAAGTGGTTGTTCTCTACATTTGAGATGAAAGACATGGGTGAAGTAAGCTATGTGCTTGGTGTTAAGATCCTTACGGATCATTCTAGGAGACTTCTCGGTTTGTTGCAAGAGACTTACATTAAGACTATCCTAGAGCGATTCCAGATGCAGAGTTTTAAACCCATTGACACTCTTGTTGCAATATGGATCATCTTAACTGTCCTAATTTCTGATTCAAAAGAAGTGTTTGGGATGTGGTTTTGGAACTCTTGCATAACATTACTTCAAAAGGATGAAAACTCATGTTTTTGGGTATAGCATTTCATATACACTAACCATATGGCATTGTTAACTATCCTACATGTCAGTAGGTTATCTCTACTAGGTTTTATGCTCACCCTACGTGAAAACAATTTTTCAAGTGTTGATGGTGTGCCTCCACCAAGGTGACAACTTGGGAGGATGTTGGAGCAAAATTCTTATTCTGTTATTTATTTTTATTTTTTTTTATAGTCTTGGGCTTTTGTGTATTAGACTTATGTCCCACTTTTGTTATAATCAGGTAAGGCCTTGGAATTTGTAACCTTTAAGGCATTAATTTGTGTTGATTTAGATATTGTTTTCTTTTCGTTCACATGTTTTGGAACTTATGTTCATGATTATTTAAGCTTCCGTATGTTTAATGAGAATTATAACGAATGGTTCAGCATCTATATTTTTGGGGCCTTACATAATATAATTATGTCAAAATTGTGAAATGTATTATTATTGTTTACAAATCTCAAGGGTGGTTAGTGTAAGGATATAAAATATCTAGGGATATCAAATAACACAATTACCATCTTTTTAGTTTATTTCTCTTAGTCTCCCAACAATTAGTATATTTTGGGACATTTATTAATAAATCTACATGATTTATGGATCATTTAGTCCTTTAAATACCTTTATGAACTCGTAATCTCATATTGAAATCCCTCAAATGAGGCATACCCACATTTGAAAATGTAATAACACAATAATGCACGAATTAGATTGATGTTCAATTGTCACATTTTAAGAATGACATATTTGACAAAAGTTTAATAAGACAACAGTACACAAATGTCCCATTGTCACATTTTATAAAGAATGGCACATTTAATTTTTTTTAAAAAGACAAGAGTACACATTAAAATGATGTTCCATTGTCACATTATAAGAATGACATATTTGGTAAAAGTTTAATAAAACAATAGTGCACAAATGTCCCATTGTCACATTTTAAGAAGAATGACACATTTAGTCAAAATTTAATAAGACAATAGTACACATATTGGAATGATATCCCATTCACATTTTAACAATGACACATTGATAAAAATTTAATAAGACAATAGTACACATATTGGAATGATATCCCATTCACATTTTAACAATGACACATTGATAAAAATTTAATAAGACAATAGTACACATATTGGAATGATATCCCATTCACATTTTAACAATGACACATTGATAAAAATTTAATAAGACAATAGTGCACAAATGAAACATACTTACATTTGGAATCTCTAGAAAATATAGTAAAAAAATCTCACGATTTACCTTTCCAAATTTAATTGGACTTAATTATCTACAAGAAAATTAATGAGACTTTCCATTACATAATTTGATAGAATAAGACTTTTTAGTAAATTTCCCTTGTATTTTTCAAATATGAAATATAAGTATTTGTATGCAAGTGATATTTGGATATAAAGACAATGAAGTGTAAAATATGCATTTTAAAACATAATGACATCATTATTTTTCATTATTTTAAGGTGTGGACCAAAATGTTAAACAGTCTATATTTAAGAAAACATAATCTAATTATATTTTATTAATTAATTAGAATAAATTGGTGTAATTTATCCTATTCTTTTGAAAGAACGATTGATGTGACAAATGCATTTTTTTAAATTTTAAATAAATATAGTACTATCCTCACTAGATTTTAGTATGGGGTTTTTAGTTTAAGATCTCTCATATTAGGATTTTATAAAATAAATGACAACAAATATTATAGTAGTAGCTAAGGTCCCTAGGAAATACAGAAGCAATTTTGAGATGAAAATACCTTTATTTATTGAATTCCAATACTAACAGATACACACTTCGACATTCAACGTCTTCCACTTTTTGAACTTTTTTAAAACTTAAAAATTCAATAACTTTTGATTTAGATAGCTATTTTCAATAAAATTTATATTTTTGGAACGCTCTCGTTGAGATTTATCAAACAAGATCCATGATAAATATGAAATTCCAAAAAGAAAAAAAATAAAATAAAATTGACAAAGTTTCACTAAGTTGGCTATCTTCAATCACTGAAATTTCTCTGACTTTTAAGTAGGGAAATTTCATTGATTTTTAGAAATTCAGTGAAATTTGCTGACATTAGTGAAATTTTCTTGACTAAGTTAGTGAAATTTCAGCTTTAGTCAAAATTTTCTAATTAAGTCAAAGAAACCTTAAAGTTCATTGAGGAGTGGAGAGATGAAGAAAGAGATACTAAGGGATGGAGAGGGGAAAGAAAGAAAGAAAAATATAAGGCATCCATCAGTAAAATTTCATTGATCTTAGTGAAATTTATCTAACCAAGTCTGAGAAATTTCAATGGCTTTAGTGGAATTTCTGACTAAGTCGGTGAAATTTCTCTCAAAGACACAATGCTAACCTTTGAATTAATTGTCTTCTATCAACCAACTCAAGCTCAAAATAAAGCAAAACTCCTTGGCTCCAGGTAAAAATTTCTGAAATTTCTTTCAGCGAAAATTCTAAATTTTCTCTCAAAAATTGAAAATTCTCAAATTTCTCTAAGTGAAAATTTTTAAATTTCTCTCAGAAATTGAAAATTCTGAAATTTCTTTGAGTGAAAATTCTAAAATTTATCTCAAAAATAAAGGGCTCAACTCAAAACCATTAAATAAAAACTGAACACTTTTTTAATCAATGAATTTCATCAATTACCATAACATCAGTGAAAGTTGGGCTAACATTAGAGAATCTACCAAACAATTCTTTAGTGTGGTTCCTCAAGAGGGGTTTAGAAGTTCTCATCTTCTTTTTCTCTAGAGCTTTCCAGCGGAGAGACCATAATGATTCAAGTGGGGTCTACTGGAATTCCGGAGGTGTCACGACCCAAACCCGGCCCTATGGGTTTAGCACCGTAACCGGCCAGTAATCCGAGATTACCGAAGGCCTGCAGAACAGTAATACAGTAAAACAGAGTACGGGGCCTGGCGGAAGCCAATACAGTAAATAAATAGTGTCCATTGAGCTGTGACAGTCTGTATGCAAAAAGGCTGTTCACACATTTATACATAAACAGTACAGAACAGTATACACAATATTCACAACCATTCAACTAGGGACTCAACCCTACAGAACAGTACAGAAAACATTCCGTCTGTACAAAACAGTACGGTCTATACAAAACAGTAAAACGGTACAGAAGGGGAAAAAACAGACATTGGCGCTGTCCTTGGCTCAATCTCCCGGCAATGAGCTATAGCATGTCCCGGCAGACCGGGATCCAGTTGATTAGTCTGACTCACTGTGTGTTCTACTTTCCGTTACGGTTCCGGTGCCAGTTCAGCCATGATCAGACTTGCCCGCCAGAGGGGATAGAGTATCCTGCTGCATTCCCGG